TGCCGAAAGCCCGTTTCGGGCCGGTGGCGACAGTGCCCATCATAATGGGGTCCCATTAATGTGTCGTCAATTTTGTCTTTCTCTCTCTACGTGTCGTGTCCGGTTTGAATTTTGGGAGAACCCCTTTTCTCTCTCTCGCGCACCCTTCCCCCTTCACTTTACTCTTTTTCCTCTGGCTTGCTCTCGACGCTTCTTCACTCTCCGTCTTCGTTTTTCTTGCCTCCATTCTTCTCCATCGCCATTTCTGGCAATCTCGTCCCTATCTCTCGTTAGTGTTCTTTCGTTTGTCAAGGGAGTACCAGGTACTTCAATTTCTCTGTCTTCTTCTTCTTCTTCGAATCTTTTCATCTTCTTGATGGCTGGGGACAGTGGTGCCGCATCTTCTACGCCGGCCAAGGGTAAAGGCAGGGCGCGCGGCAAGGCGGTGGTCGCCGAGACGGCCACCGTCGAAAAGAAAAAGGGGGGAAACCAGCCTAGGGAACCCTTCCCCGTCATCTCTGGCTATGAATGGGTCAGGGGTGACGTTGGAGAGTCCAGAGCGTCTTCAAGTCATTCCTGAAGATCAATGCGATGTGGAAGTCGCATAGGATCTGTGAATCATCCATTCACTAGTGCAAAAATTGGATTTAAAATCGGACTTTTAACTCTACGTGTCGTGTCCGGTTTGAATTTTGGGAGAACCCCTTTTCTCTCTCTCGCGCACCCTTCCCCCTTCACTTTACTCTTTTTCCTCTGGCTTGCTCTCGACGCTTCTTCACTCTCCGTCTTCGTTTTTCTTGCCTCCATTCTTCTCCATCGCCATTTCTGGCAATCTCGTCCCTATCTCTCGTTAGTGTTCTTTCGTTTGTCAAGGGAGTACCAGGTACTTCAATTTCTCTGTCTTCTTCTTCTTCTTCGAATCTTTTCATCTTCTTGATGGCTGGGGACAGTGGTGCCGCATCTTCTACGCCGGCCAAGGGTAAAGGCAGGGCGCGCGGCAAGGCGGTGGTCGCCGAGACGGCCACCGTCGAAAAGAAAAAGGGGGGAAACCAGCCTAGGGAACCCTTCCCCGTCATCTCTGGCTATGAATGGGTCAGGGGTGACGTTGGAGAGTCCAGAGCGTCTTCAAGTCATTCCTGAAGATCAATGCGATGTGGAAGTCGCATAGGATCTGTGAATCATCCATTCACTAGTGCAAAAATTGGATTTAAAATCGGACTTTTAAGATCGGTTACAAGGTAACCGATCTTAAAAGTGACGCGGTGGCAGTTTTGTAAATAATATGAACATTTTTAAGATCGGTTAAAATTTAACCGATCTTAAAAGTACTTTTAAGATCGGTTATTTAAGAACCGATCTTAAAAGGTATACATTTAAAATCGGTTCAAATATAACCGATTTTAAAAAATATTTTTAAAATCATTTACATTTTAACTGATTTTAAATCATGTCTCTTTTACTACTTTTAAGATCGGTTATGTAGGAACCGATTTTGTATGTAACATACCAAATCGGTTCCTGGATAACCGATCTTAAATATCCTATAACTAAGCTATGATAATCGATTTTCCTTTCTATGTTCCTTTTTACGTTTCTACAATTTCGGCCTCCACTATCAATTTCGTTCGTCCAGGTTCACAAAGAGGCAGCTATCTATTCGACTTCAGGTTCGTTTTTAAGCTTGTTGTTGCCCTTTCCTTCATTCGTGCTTAGGGTTTCTACCCATTCACGATGGCTTTCACTAAAACCTTGCAAACGCGAATGTTTTTATTTGGTTGCGGCGAGGGAGTATATGTGACCCTCACTAGAGCTTCGTTTTTGTTGATGAAAGCTTCTGTTGGTCTTCTTCTTCCTCCATCGTCGCAACGCAACTACCACTTTTTCTTATTTAATTTATTCATGAAAATGGACCGATATGCTAAAGAAGCACCTCTAAACAGAAGCATAGTCTTTTTTTTTTTGTCAAAAAAGGTTCATATCTGTTTACAACAGAAAGTAAAACTAGTAATTCATACTATTTGTACGTAAGGTTATTATACTAGAATTTTTACTTTATTTAATTGAATATCTTATTTTATTTATTCGATTTTTTATATTGTTTTATTTTGCAGTAATAGTAATAAATACTAGTCACAATATAAATTTCAACGAACTAAGTAACTAAGTAAATGTGTTAGTAAATGTATTAAAAATATCTAAAAAAAAAAAGAAAATACACAAATAAGACGTATCATTTTATGTATAATAATGGGGAATTATGGGACAAAAAATAAATCCGCTTGGTTTCAGACTTGGTACAACTCAAAGTCATGATTCTGTTTGGTTTGCACAACCAAAAAATTATTCGGAGAATATACAAGAAGATAAAAAAATACGAGATTTTATCAAAAATTATATACAAAAAAATATAAGAGTATCTTCTGGTGTCGAGGGAATTGGACAGATAAAGATTCAAAAAAGAATTGATCTGATTCAAGTCATAATATATATGGGGTTTCCAAAATTATTAATAGAGGGTAAGCCTCAAAAAATTGAAGAATTACAGACGAATATGCAAAAAAAACTGAATTGTGTGAATCGAAAACTAAACATTGCTATTGCAAGAGTTGCAAATGCTTATAAACACCCTAATATTCTTGCAGAATTTATAGCTGGACAATTAAAAAATAGAGTTTCATTTCGTAAAGCAATGAAAAAAGCCATTGAATTAACCGAACAAGCGGGTACAAAAGGAGTTCAAATACAAATTGCAGGACGTATCGATGGAAAAGAAATTGCACGTGTTGAGTGGATCAGAGAGGGTAGGGTTCCTCTACAAACCATTCGAGCTAAAATTGATTATTGTTGCTATACAGTTCGAACTATTTATGGGGTTTTAGGAATCAAAGTTTGGATATTTCTAAATAAAGAATAACATATTTTTCTTTATCTTTAATGTCC